GCATCTATGGCAAGCATCCTCAGAGGTAGTGAGATCTCTCATCCTATCTGCTCTGAAGTAGATCAGTGGAGGGATCGAGTCCACCAACAAAGAGTCTTCTTTGTGCTGATGGAGTGACATCATTGGAAACCGCCCAAGGAAGTCACATCCCTGCAATGTGAGATCTGGAAGCTATTGGCACTGAAATGGCTCTTCTTTTTAAACAGAAGCACTGTTCAAAATTAAGTATGGCAGTAGGTTAAAAATATTCTTAGCAATAGATAAATAAAATAAAGCATTGATGTTGCAGTCATAAGATCATGTCGTAATATCTCTGGGCAGATTGTAATAAAATCATTTGGGGAGAAAACAAGAGATAAGACAAAAATATATTTAAAATAATGTAAATGTTCTAAAAACATATTAAACATTTGCATAATTTAAATACAAGCATTAAAACAGTATATCCAGTCATCCCTTCTGCAATGGAAATGGTCCTTTTGTTGTCACACAATGGCCTCTCCAGCAAAAATTGGTCCTTGAGAAGCATAATATAGCGACTTTACACATTCAGGAGATCCATAATAGGAAAACAAGAATGTGTTGCTTTTTCCAGAATGTTTGAATTCCTGCCCATTGTGGAACTAATGAAAAATCATAGCCAGAATAACCAGCTGTGGGGGATCATAGGGGCTGTAGTCAAATATAGACAAGGTATTGGGTGAAGCAGAAACTCCTCTTCCATAATTTTCACACCATCTCTTTCCATGAAGTCTTTTCTTCATATTAAAAATGGGACTCAGAAGATGCAGTAGTGCTTTTTGGTGTTTCTGACAGGCATGAATTTAGAAGGTTAAAGGAACAAGTGAATATACATGTTTGGTAGTTATTGGGCAAGGGGATAACTGGTGATGAGACACATTTTTTATCTTTATTGCATCTTTTTCAGGTAGATTAGTGTTTCAAGTCGTAGGATATGTTTGAACTCATATCCTGTTCCAAGTTTATGACCATTGTGCTTAAAAACAGCAAAATGTCATCCTATCTATAGTTTTTGCAGCTGCCCTGCAAACCATTACAAATACATAAATATTGTTCCTGGCAGTCAAATCATGTCAATTATGTCTTGGATATTGCACAATATTTGAGGGATGTCAAAGCTGAGTGCATACAAATGGCTTACACATGTTTCCTTCTCTGAGTGTTATTTATTAAAATAAAAATAGTGCATACGATACCTCAGAAACTGCATTGTTGTTGTTGTTGGCTAAAGTGGGCTGTAGACTGCAAAATCTGAAACCATCACAACATTATACATGTCTCATTTGGGTCATACGACCTTTGGTTTGTCTCCAGAAAAATTGTAGTGTGATTCTGTATGTTTGTGTCCGATGGAATATGTGGCTGTAAGCTGTGCATGGTTTTTTGCTGACCTTTGTATTCCAACCTCTCTTAAACAAATAAAAAAATACAAAAGCTGCTTTTATATGTTGGCTGTGTGTACGTGAATGCATCTAACAGAAAGACATTGGTGAATATATGTTTTTAATGGTTAATGAACTTGACAAACTGGCCTCCAGTGGTATTGTTGAAGTCACCCAGAAACAAAACCTCCGAGAGCAGTTCTGTGAGCTCAGCCAGGGAGTCTGTTAGGCAGCAGGGTGGCCGATACACAAACAGAATCCTCAGCCTATCCCTGATTTTCCGACTCAGGTACACACACTCAATGTGATTCAGCTCCCTAATAGGCACTCTGGTCAGGTTAAGATGGTATTTGTAGACCACAGCTACCCCCACCCACCCTCTTTCTCTCATCTGCTCACGGACACAGTACCCAGCTGGGAAGGCCTGAGCCCAGGTTGGAGCACTATCGTCTCCCAGCCAAGTTTAAATTAAGCATACCAGGCCAGCCCCTTCATCCTCAAGGAGATCATAAATGATATGTCTTTTATTCTTGACTGACCTGGCATTATTTAAGAACAAGGTGATGTTTGGTGGGTTGGCTAGCTGACTCTCTTAAGTTCTGCCAGGCTGGCAGGTGACTGGAAGGTGGGAGAGGTATTAAACATCTTTCTCTCCTTCCTCTATGACAGTGATTCCCAACCTTTGGGCCTCCGTGTGTTTTGGACTTCAACTCCCAGAAATTCCAGCCAGTTTACCAGCTGTTAGGAACTGTGGAAGATACAATTCAAAACACCTAGAAGCCCAAGAGTTGGGAACCACTGCCCTATGAGGACGTGTGACCCTGTCATAACCTCTGCCCTGCACAACTTCTATCACTGCCCCAGTCTCCAGCCGCATTGAATTAAAAACAAAAATACAGGGACAAATGAAAGACAAATTATAAGATTAATATTACAACACTTAACACACAGTCAATGGGTGCATTCCCAGTCAATCAGGCCAATTAGTCCAACAGCCCCCCACACCCATTAGGGAACTGCTTTGTAGCCATCTAGATGGTTCTGGGTAGCCCTCTCACTATTACTCACTCATTCATCTGGTTCTCTCACCGCCAGCTGTTAGGAATTGTGGGAGTTGAAATCCAAAAACACCTGAAGGGCCCAAGTTGGCCCATGTATAGTGCAGATGCACCCTAAGTGAGGCCATTGAGGAGAACTCTCCAGGGTGCTGAATTCTTGGACCCTTACAATGGCACAGGCTGCAGACTCTGGAAACATTGTGCATTAAGCATCCATTAAGTCCCCTTGGGGAGATAGAGCGGTATATAAATAAAGTTTTTTTTATTATTATTAAGCTCTGGCCTGATCCATGAGGTCATGAAGAATTGGAAGCAACTGCACGAATTGTAGGGGCAAAAAAAAAAAATATGGGGAGGATGAGGAAGGACTTCACAAAAGCTGAATCTTTAAACTGAAAAAAACAAACTATTTATTGCTTGGCTATAGCAATAATGACAAAACATGCATTCAGGAATGCAATCAAAGGGTTTGTTCCAACCCCCAATGGGGCTGTAGAGCTTTTATCATTTTTAGCATACATATTCTAATTGGTTCCCAAAGACAAATAATGTCATGGGTCTAAGCTAGCTATACAGTTGCTCATTGGTGGTTTATGATTTTGATTGACATTATAGCACACGTGGGATCCTAACAATGGCCCAACTATAGTCTATTGTTCTCAGAACATGACTGTCTTAATAAATCAGTCTTATCTGTTAGTCTGTTGCAAACATGGCTCCAGAGCGACTGGGAAACTTGGGGGTTCAAACTAGCCACCAGCTAGTCGGTTTTGTCCGGATGTACTGTTATCCTTGAAAAGTAACTTCCTCTTTGCAGCACTGATTTCTCAAACAATCAGCATTTCTGTAAACAGATCCCAGTAAGGTGGTCTTCTGCAGCTGGCAGATGGTAATTTTGTCAGCGCTGATTGTGTTTAAGTACAGGCCAATAGGCACTGCACCCAGTGTGCCAAGGTCTTTAGATACTGCACCCAGTGTGCCGATCACCACTGGGACCACCTTGACTGCCTTGTGCCAGAGTCTTTGCAGTTCGATTTTTAAATCCTCATATTGTGTCAGCTTTTCCAGTTGTTTCTCTTCAATCCGGCTGTCACCTGGGATTGCAACATCAACAATCCATACTTTGTGTTTTAACACGATCGTAATTATTATTATTATTATTAAGAGCACGTTGGTTTTCTTGATGTTCAATGATCACTGTCTCCTAAAGCAGTTACTCTACTCCCAACTCAAGAAGGGAAACATAATGTTGGTGAACAGGAAAAGAGATTTAAAGATGGGCTTAAAGCCAACCTTAAAAACTGTGGCATAGACACAGAGAACTGGGAAGCCCTGGCTCTTGAGCGCTCTAACTGGAGGTCAGCTGTGACCATCAGTGCTGCGGAATTCAAAGAGGCAGAAATGGAGGGCAAAAGGGAGAAACATGCCAAGAGGAAGGTGCTTCAAATCAATGCCTTCACTCGAAACCAATGTCCTCACTGTGGGAGAACATGTGGATCAAGAATAGGGCTCCATAGCTACCTACGGACCCACCACCAGATACGACACTTGGAGGACCATCATCCTCGGGCTACAAGGGATCACCTAAGTAAATAAGTAAGCAAGTTCAAACGTCAAGAAAGGAGATTCCATCTGAACATGAGGAAGAACTTCCTGACTGTGAGAGCTGTTCAGCAGTGGAACTCTCTGCTTCAGAGTGTGGTAGAGGCTCCTTCTTTGGAAGCTTTTAAACAGAGGCTGGATGGCCATCTGTTGGGAGGTGTTTTGAATGCAATTTTCACAATGCACTTGGAAGTCCATCATCCTCGGGCTATGAGGGATCGCCTAAGTAAGTAAGTTCAAACTTCAAGAAAGGAGATTCCATCTGAACATTAGGAAGAACTTCCTGACTGTGAGAGCCGTTCAGCAGTAGAACTCTGCCTCAGAGTGTGGTAGAGGCTCCTTCTTTGGAAGCTTAAACAGATGCTGGATGGCCATCTGTTGGGGCTGCTTTGAATGCGATTTTCACAGTACACTTGGATGACCATCATCCTCGGGCTACGAGGGATCGCCTAAGTAAGCAAGTTCAAACTTCAAGAAAGGAGATTCCATCTGAACATGAGGAAGAACTTCCTGACTGTGAGAGCTGTTCAGCAGTGGAACTCTCTGCCCCGGAGTGTGGTGGAGGCTCCTTCTTTGGAGGCTTTTAAACTGAGGCTGGATGGCCATCTGTCAAGGGTGCTTTGAATGTAATTTTCCTGGTTCTTGGCAAGGGGTTGGATTGGATGGCCCATGAGGTTTCTTCCAACTCTATATTTCTATATGTTATGTTCCTTCACACACCTCCCTCTCTTGTGAGGGAAGCATCTGGTGCCTACAGAGCCCTCAATACAGAAAAGAGATTTCAGGAAGTGATCAGCGCACGGCATGCCGGGAGTGGGCGGTTCTGTTTATGCACCGGGGAAGGAGGAAACTGCGGAGGCTGATTGGCTGTTAAGAGTTCGGAGCCTGGACTCAGAGTTTCTGATTGGCTGTTACAGTTCCTGGTTGGCTGTTCCGGTTCCTGATTGGCTCTTGGAGTTCTTGGCTTGGCTCTGAGAGTCCGAAGCATGGAGGCCGCGTGCAAGTGGCAAGGACTGCCCGGCGCCCCGAGTTTGAAGCCCTTGACGGCGCCGGAGCGCGGCCTTCCTCGGGAGAAGCAGCGGCGGGCCCTGCAGGATGTCACTCGGGCCCACGTGGAGTCCTTCGACTTCGCCACCGGGGATGGGCTGCTCCGGGCCGTGCAGGTGAAAGGAAGGAAGGGGGAAAAAAAGGGAGGCCTGGCCTGGCCTGTGGGTGCAGGTTGCTGCCAACCCCACTGAGGCTGGGCCTACACTGGCCTATATCCCGGATTATCTGCTTATCCCAGATAATCTGGCGGTGTAGAGCAGGCCTAGGCAAACTTGGGCCTTCCAGGTGTTTTGCACTTCAAATGATTTTCTTACAAGGTTCTTGTGGGTTTTTTCGGGCTATAGGGCCATGTTCTAGAGGCATTTCTCCTGACGTTTCGCCTGCATCTATGGCAAGCATCCTCAGAGGTAGTGAGGTCTGTTGGAATTAGGACAATGGGTTATATATCTGTGGAATGGCTGGGGTGGGGCAAAGAGCTCTTCTCTGCTGGAGCTAGGTGTGAATGTTTCAACTGACCACCTTCATTAGCATTTGAAGGCCTGGCTGAGCCTGGGAAAATCTTTGGTTGAGAGGTGTTAAGATGTGCCTGGTTGTTTCCTCTCTGCTGTTTTGCTGTTGTAATTTTAGAGTTTTTTAATACTGGTAGCCAGATTTTGTTCATTTTCATAGAATCATAGAATCGAAGAGTTGGAAGAGACCTCATGGGCCATCCTTTCTGTTGAAACTGCCCCACCCCAGCCATTCCACAGATATATAAACCCATTGTCCTAATCCCAACAGACCTCAGTACCTCTGAGGATGCTTGCCATAGATGCAGGCGAAACGTCAGGAGAAATGCCTCTAGAACATGGCCCTACAGCCCGAAAAAACCCACAAGAACCTAGTGATTCCAGCCATGAAAGCCTTCGACAATACAATTTTCTTACAATCTGTCCAGAGATATGATGACATGTCCTTAGAACTGCAACATAAATGTCTTATTTTATTTATCTACTAGCGCTTCCCTGCCACGCGTTGCTGTGGCCCAGTCTGTGTATATGTGTTTTGTGTGTGTATATATTTGTGCATATGTGTATATATGTGTGTTTGTCTATATATGTGGTTCTGCGCATGTGTGCTGTGACCCAGTCTGTGTGTTTTGTGTGTGTATATATTTGCATTTATTTATTTATTTATTTACAGCTTTTATATTTATGAACCCACGCGTGCACTTCGTTCATCTGGTGAGGCCCTGCTCGTGATTCCGCCTGCGTCACAAGCGCGGCTGGTGGGGACATGAGACAGGGCCTTTTCTGTGGTGGCCCCCCGACTCTGGAACACCCTCCCAAAAGATCTTAGACAGGCCCCTACATTGGCAGTCTTTAGAAAGAACTTGAAGACCTGGTTGTTCCGATGTGCCTTTCCAGAATAGGAAATCTCCAATAACAAGTCCTCGAAGCACTTTTAGTAGAATTAAGATTATTGCACACCGCACACTGCACCTGCCCTATAATCCTCGTATACCACCTGCCACATCAGCACTTTTAATCTTGTACCCATTACTCTGGCCCGGCCCAGTTTTTATTGTGTCTCGATATACTGTCCATTGCATGTCGTTAGTATTGCTTTAACTGTTTTTAATTTTGCTTTTGGTGTTATATTGTTTGTGTTGTGTTTTGTGGCCTTGGCCTTTGTAAGCCGCATTGAGTCCTTCGGGAGATGCTAGTAGGGTACAAATAAAGTTAAAAATAATATCCCGGATTATCTGCTTATCCCAGGTTATCTGTCGGTGTAGAGCAGGCCTGGGCAAACTTGGGCCTTCCAGATTTCTTACAATCTACCCAGAGATGTGATGACCTGTTCTTATGACTGCAACATCAATGTCTTACTTTATTTATCTACTGATTAGAATATTAGAATCATAGAGTTGGAAGGGACCTCGTGGGCCATCCAGTCCAACCCCCTGCCAAGAAGCAGGAAAATCGCTTTCAAAGCACCCCCAACAGTTCAAAGCACCCCCAACAGATGGCCATTGTACTATACTAATAATTTAATATATTGTATGTATATTATATCTTGTAAGCCGCTCTGAGTCCCCTTCGAGGTGAGAAGGGTGGCATAGAAATGTCATAAATAAATAAATACATACACTATAGGAAATTCCATCACACAGGATTACACAATTTATTATTTCGGTTTCTTCTACCCCGCCCTTCTTACCCCGAAGGGGACTCAGGGCGGCTTACAAAGGCACAATTCAATGCCAACATCACATAACAGTAGTAAAACAAAATAACATAAATTAAACAGTTGAAACAGTCAAACAACAATTCCTGCATTACAGCCCTAAAACCAATAAAACGATACAAACCTAATTACTCCTCATAGACAGTCAGCGTTCGCTATCTCATAGTCCAAATTCCAATTCCACATTGTCAGTCCTGTCAGTCCTAGTCGTTTGATTGTCCTTATCTAGTTGTCAGATTGCCCAAAGGCCTGGTCCCACAACAACGTCTTTACTTTCCTCCTGAAGGAGAGGAGGGATGTTGATGCCCTAATTTCTCCCGGGAGTGAGTTCCACAGGTGAGGGGCCACCACTGAGAAGGCCCTGCTCCTCATCCCCACCAGCCTCACTTGTGATAGAGGCGGGGTCGAGAGCAGGGCCTCCCCAGATGATCTCAGACTCTGGGGTGGGACGTAGAGGGAGATACGTTCGGACAGATACACTGGACTGGAACCGTACAGAACATTCTCTGCAGGTTTTTTTTTCAAACTTCCAACTTCAAAACATATGTTGGTATATTCCTGGAGTTATTTGGGGCACTGATTCAGAAAGTTGAATTGGATAGCTCTAGTTTCTTACATATGGTCATCATTATTTTCTGTTGGCAAGTGGATGAAGAGTGGCAGATGGCATGTTCTGTATCACAAAAGCTAGAGCTAATAGGGGGAAATTGGTGCCATTTTTAGAATCAACAGGACAGATATACCCAGAAACTGGTCTAACATTTGAGGCATCAAAATGTATGTTGAGCAATGTATGTTGAGTCGTCTGAGGGCTGAGAAAAGCGGTATATAAATGAAATAAATAAATAAATAAAATTATATCTGGAGTTCTTGCTTGCTCAGCCACACCAAGATCCCTCTGCAATGCATTCCTGCAGGGGAATTTTGGGTAGATGTTCCAGCATACCCTACATTTTTATTTAAAGCAGGTATGGGCAAACTTCGACCCTCCGTGTGTTTTAAGCACTCAGGGGGAAAAGGAAAAGGCCTGAGGCTGTTAGGAATTGTGGGAGTTGAAGTCCAAAACATTTAGAGGGCCCAAATTGGCCTAGGGCTGTTCTAAATGAATTGGATCTCATCCTATGACAAGGAAATGAGCCCTTCCAGCTTATTGTTTCGACTGCTGCTAGATTTCTAAATCATTCTCTTCATCCAGTGAACCTTCCTTCCTTCCTTCTAGGCCATTCCGCCTTTGGAGTTTGCTTGCAAGAACACACGGATCACTTTGGCCATTACCAGCGCCGTTATCAGCCCTCCAATGGTTCCCAAGGGGACGATATGCAAAGAGCTGAAGGTTTACCCAGCCGAATGCAGAGGGCGTAGATGCACCTATCGTGGGAAATTGACGGTAAGTAGCCAAGGTCAAGGAATCAAATGTTCTTAGGTTTTAGGTCATATTCCCTTTAGAAATGTAAAAGGTGTAGGCATCTGGTGTTCGGATACTTTGGAGATGTTTATATATATTCAGACACAGAACAACTCAATAGTAATAGTAACTTTGCAATCAAATAATAATAACAATATGCTTTATTTGTATCCCATTCCCTCTCCCTGAAGGGACTCGAGGTGGCTTACAGCAAGAAACAAATACAGTCAATAATATAACCCAGACACATATTACTTAATGCTACAAAATAACACATTGGTATAAACATTAATAATGAGTTTAAAAAACTATTTTGCCCTCTAAAAGCAATAAAAATATAAACTCCATTTAAATGCAGTCAATTCCCTTGATCAGTGCCATATGCGACCGGGCTGGGCCTCTTGTTGAAAACTTTTTGTATTTGGGCTTTTCTGGTCTGCGCCAGCCCAATGACCTCATTTGACCACATAACCAACCCAAACTGTTTTGTGATCCCTTGCTGGCTGTTGTACAAGAATGTGGGTGTTTTGTTTAGATTTATGTTATTAGAGAATTTTGTCTAATTACGTGTAATTTAATTTATTGATGTCAGGTTTAATTTCTGATGTTAGGTCTTAATTTGATATTAGGCTTTAAGGTTACTTATAAGGTTACTTTTCTGGGATTTTATGTTAGTATCATGTGTTTTATGTAGAGTTGTCCTTCCATTTTTTCAGTGATTACTTTGATAAATCTATTTCTTTCTCCACTCTCCATAGGTTGATGTCAGTTGGAGTGTGAATGGCATTCCTAAAGGGGTTATTAAACAATCCCTGGGCCATGTTCCAATCATGGTGAAGTCCAAACTCTGCAATCTCCATGGCCTTTCTCCCAAAGAACTCATCAAACATCACGAAGAACAAGAGGTATTGCTGAATTTTGCTGGTTTGGCTTTCTGCTTCTGTGAGACTGACTTAATGTTACATAACATAAATGCATTTGGCATATTATGAGAGCCAATTTAGTTAAAGGTCAGGATATAGATCTATTCTAAATAAATAAATGTTGCTCTGAAAAAATTAATCACAGCAATGATTTTTCTTCCCACTCGGACAAGAGACTCTGTTGACTCCTGTTCTGGTATTTTAAATTGATTTTATGATGATTGAGTTTTGATTTTATGATGAGCAGATTATTATTATGCATACTCTGTTTTCATTAAAGGGTTTAAAAACGAATAGATGTGCCTTTTGCTTCCACTTGCAGTAAAATTTACTTCCATTGATTAATCATCTGAAGGTTGTGTTGATTGTTCTGTCAGTTTAACCTTAATGCTATTTGCTGCTAATTTCTTTTCTTTTTTCTTTTTGGCAGGAAATGGGTGGATATTTCATAATAAATGGTATAGAAAAAGTGATGAGACTGATAATTATGCCTAGACGTAACTTTCCTCTTGCAGTGATAAAGCCAAAATGGAAATCTAGGGGGCATGGCTACACAGAATATGGTAATTCATTTTTTAAACGTTTATTTGGTTGTGCGCTTTCAATATATTATCAAAAGGAAGTTAGATTTTTAAAGACTTCAGTTTCTGTAGTTTTATTGTTTTGTGTTATTCAGTTTGTTCCATGTTGTATGTATTATTTTGTTACAGTTAGGTACAGATATTTTCACTCCGTAAATGTTTTGGAGGTGGCGATGTGACATCAATTTATTGTTCTTGTATCTTTGTGCTTCAAAATATTTTTAGAATTTCTATGGCACTGTATGTGGCCATAATGTCAAGTTGCTGGACCTAGGCCCATAATATTGCATTTCTAGCTAAACACAAATGACACCTCCACAGACAGTATAGGCCATTGGAATATGTTAGCATACAATTGAATATTTTTATTCTTATTTTATGTCAACATTGTAATTGTCTCTGCCTTTGGTAACCACCAAAAATAGATCAGGATAAGTAATAGATAAGTAATTCCCTGTTTACTTATTTATTTGGCTATGATTGTCTTTTACACAATTATATAATATCCCGTTACTTAGACATTTTCTTTTGTGTGGTGTTTAGGCATCTCAATGCGTTGCGTGAGAGAGGAACACACAGCAGTTAACATGACGCTCCATTATCTTGAAAATGGCACAGTGATGGTGAACTTTGTCCATCAGAAAGAGTTGTTCTTTCTTCCATTGGGGTTTGTCCTAAAGGTATTAATTGCTGTTGTGCTGTTTATTAAGACACTGGTTATATTTATGGGCTATATTTTACAGGAGAGTGAAATGTACAGCGTGAAATGTACAGCGTGAATTTGGTCTTCAGTAGGCATTAAGTCAGAGTAAGTCATTTGTGGCGAATCAGCAGCTTGAAAGGAAGTAATCAAGAAGGAATCCTATCAATTTACAAATACCTTATTGCATTTTTGTCAGAGGAAAGTAGCTGTTCTTAAACCTGTGACTGAACCTGTTCAAATGTCACAACTGATTCATAGTTTGGCTCTAGACTTAATAGGTTTTCTTCTCCACTGTCCCCTCCCACCTTTTCTAGTTAGAGCAAACAGTGGTTTGTGGAGAATCCTAATTGGGCGAATGTAGAACATTGGAGTCTAGTTAAAACAGCCCCTTCCCTGACATCTTTTAAAAAGTAGTTAAAGACCTTACTGTTTGCACAAGTTTTTGATGAAGACACTTAGCTGTAATGACAGGAAGGCTAAATTTTATTGAGTCGTGCTAATGTTTAACGTCTGTCTTAGTTACCTGCAATAATAGTATTAGACAAATGTTTTTAAATATGTTTCTTTATTTCTTATTGTAAATTTGTTTTTATAGTTTATTGTTTTACATATGCATATTGTTTTGTATTGTCTTTTATCTAATGTTGTAAGCCACTTTGGGTCCTGTTTAGGGAGAAAAGCGGGATATAAATAAAGATTTATTGTTGTTGTTGTTTGTCTATGTCACCCAAATACATTAGGCCTCAAAAGATATTACAGTGTTCCCTCGCTACTTCGCAGTTCGGTTTTCGCGGACTCACTGTTTTGCGGGTTTTGGCCTCCCAGTTTATGAATGGTTGCCGTTGCCCAGAGCAGCGTTCTAATCCTGCCTCCTGACAACGATGGAGTGTGGAAGGGGGTTTCACTCTCCTCTTCAGGAGAGAAGCAGCAAAACAGAGATAGCTAGCAAATAAAAAAGGTGTGTGGTACCTTTAAATCTCTCCTTGCTTCTGCCTCACTCTTGGATTTTCACTTTTTGCGGGTGGTCCTGGAACATAACCCGTGATAAGCGAGGGAACACTGTATATGCATGTAAACATTTTGAAAATGCTACTATGTCTTAGATTTCAAACATCTACACATTTTCAGACTTTGTAGTATACTAGTGAAATAAAATTTGAAATATGTTTGTTTTTTATTTAACCTACAAAAATAAATTTTGCCTACCATGATCTTAAAACAGTATTTGTTATTATTCCATTCCTCCTCCTTTAACACACTGCCACCCAACTCTCTTATTTTTCCTTCTCATTTCCAGGGATTAGTTGGTTTCTCTGACTTCCAGATTTTTCAGGAGTTGATCAAAGGGAAAGAAGATGATACGTTCTACAAGAACTGTGTGTCTCAGATGCTGAGGCTGGTGTCGGAAGAGGGCTGCATGACACAAAAGCAGGCCCTGGTCTTCCTGGGGCAGCGCTTCAGAGTGAAAATGAACCTTCCCGAGTGGTATCCCAGCGAGCAAGTTGGAGAGTTCCTTTTTGAGTATGTCTTTATAAAAATGTGATTGCAGTTGTATCTTTATTAAGGTGGATAATGAACTTCATGGCCAACTTCGAACATGAATCAGTAATACAGTACACCTAAAGCAGGCATGGGCAAACTTCAGCCCTCCAGGTGTTTTGGATTTCAACTCCCACAATTCCTAACAGCCTACGGAATTGTGGGAATTCAAGTCTGAAATGCCTGGAGGACCAAAGTTTGACATTCCTAGGCTAAAGAATATGGTGAATGCCCCTCCTTTGGACGCTTTTAGTTGGGCTGACCATCAGAAACAAAAATGTGGCCTACTCCTGGAGTGATGCTTTGAGGCCTTTCCAGCCTGAGCCAGTGTGTTGTTAACATAACCACAACACAAGAGTGTGCTTTATGAGGGACCACAATTACAAACTGTTTTAACCAAAGATTAGTTTCTTCTATATTTGTCAGAAGAACGACTTTACTTACTTAGGCGATCCTTCGTTGTCCGAGTAGGATTGTCTTCCAAGATCAGTGTACTGGCGGTGGGTCCATAGGTGAGTGTGGAGCCCTATTCTTGATCTGCATCTTCTCCCACAGTGAGGGCATTGGTTTCCAGTTGGAAGGTGGTCCCTGTCGGGGTTGGCTTGGCATGCCTTCCTCTTGGCACGTTTCTCTCTTTTGCCCTCCATTTGTGCCTCTTCAAATTATACAGCACTGCTGGTCACAGCTGACCTCCAGCTGGAGCTCTCAAGGGCCAGGGATTCCCAGTTCTCAGTGTCTATGCTAGTGTTTTTAAGGTTGGCTTTGAGCCCATCAGAAGAACAAGTGGGGCCCCTGGTGGCACAGCAGGTTAAACTGCTGAGCTGCTGAACTTGCTGACCAAAAGGTTGGTGTTTCAAATCCGGGGAGTGGGATTAGCTCCTGCTGTTAGGCCCAGTTTCTGCCAACCTAGCAGTTCGAAAACATGCAAATACGAGTCAATCAATATATACCGCCTTGGCGGGAAAGTAGTAACATTAATTCATACCAATCACATGACCTAGGAGGTGTATGGACAACGCTGGCTCTTCAACATAGATATGGAGATGAGCATCAACCCCCAGAGTTGGACATGACTAGACTTAATGTCAGGGGAAACCCTTAACTTTACTTTTTACACTTGTCAGACTCATCTAAACACTTGTCTGTTTCTGGGATCATGCTTTTAAGAATGATTGGAACACATTTGAATGGATTGAGACCAGGGCAACTGATATACATAGGTAGATAGGGAAAACATGATAAAACATTGAAGGAGTTGCATATTTAGAACTTGCTGGAAGACTAAGAATCCCATTCAGGATATCAATAAATAGACGTCTAAAGGGTTTGCACACAGAGCACAAGGAAAAGGCTTGGTCACTGCTAGCCCAGAGGGCAAGGTGAGAATCTTAAGGGTCTTCTAGCAGGGTGATAAAATGCCTCTTCTGGCAGAAATGTGAAGATGATTTGTTTTGTTTGACACACCTTGGATTAAAATTGCTGCTAACTTTGTTTAGAAGTGTCGGGTATTATTTCACTCAAAAAGGCAATTATATCCATTCAGCATGGGGTGATTCTTTTTATTATTGTTCTTTCAGGCAGTGCATATGCATCCACCTGAAAACCAAAGTGGAAAAGTTCTACTTGCTTTGTCTCATGACCCGCAAGCTGTTCACGCTTGCCAAAGAAGGATGCATGGAGGAAAATCCTGACAGCTTAATGAATCAAGAGGTTCTCACCTCAGGACAACTTTACCTCATGTTTTTAAAGGTAATATTTTAAGGCTAATTTTCCTTGAACCTTTCCACCCTCTGTGATCCATGTCCACCCCACCACATTGTAGCAAAATCTCATTGTCTTTTGTCTAAAAGTCATCCATTTAGAGCAGTGGTTCTCAACCTGTGGGTCCCCAGGTGTTTTGGCCTACAACTCCCAGAAATCCCAGCCAGTTTACCAACTGTTAGGATTTTTGGGAGTTGAAGGCCAAAACATCCGGGGACGCACAGGTTGAGAACCACTGATTTAGAGCAAAAAACATATCCCATAATTCTTGATTCCATTTCTAGGAGCCCTCACAACAAAATAAATAAATAGCCCGATTGGTCTTTTCTTCTGTGCTTCAGCCTGTAATGTATATCCTTTTATAATAATTACATTACCATTAAAGCTTTTTTTATGTCAAGGTTGTTCAATTGTTCTATTTTTAACTGTTTATTAATTGTTTGTTTTAATTGCTATTATTTGTTTTGTATCTGGCATTGAATGTTTGCTATTTTTTCTTTTCGGAAGCCACCCTGAGTCCTCCAGAACGAGAGGGTGGGTTAAAAATAAAGTTTATTTATTTATTATTAAAGCTCCATTGCCTTTATATGTAGTATGAGCTAAGCTGTCAAAGAAGCTAAGGAAGAGCAGACCTTATGAAGACAGCCTTTTTCCTCCATCTCCCTGTTAGTGCTGAAACGTTGAGGTTTTTTTTTTTGGACAAATAACCTTATTTTTTTAAGTGGCCAAGTGTTATATAGAAATTTTTGCAACTAAAATAAAACTCTTATTGAAATTTGAACAGAGGGAACAAATTAGTAACACATTCTTACCTCACGCCATATTATATATATACACACACACACACACATACATACATACACACGGCATTTATATGCCGCCCTTCTCACCTCGAAGGGGACTCAAAACACACACACACACACACATATATATACATATATGCATACACACACAATATATATATTATTTTATTATTAGCATAGTACAATATCAGTATTAGTTATTACTATATTGTATTATACCATTATATTGTAATATTATTAGTAATCTTACATGTAATATAAATATATAATTATAATATTATTATTATTACATGATCCGGATTCATGTGCAACTTCTGGATTTCTGTTTGTTTTCCAACAAAAACTTCCCTCTTGTCCTTTTTGCATTTTCTCTCACAGGAGAAACTGGAATTCTGGTTGCAGTCTATTAAAATAACTGTAGACAAAAAAGCTCAGAAGTCACATATGACTTTTAATTCAGAAGGCATGATGAAGATTTTAAGCATGGGAGTAGATCTCACAAGGATGCTGGAATATCTCCTTGCTACTGGGAACCTGCGCTCTAGAACTGGTAAGTGAGTCAGAGACCTGAATTCATTTCTAATCATGCCTGTTCCAAGTTGGGTCCTTTGTAAATCACTCAATTTCAAGTACATCTGTGTACGATTGTAACCCCTGGGAGCCCTGAAGTGGTTACTCAATCTCAGTAAGACAAGATGTGCCTTAAAAATTCGGAGTTGTATGCATACATGCTTGTAAATATGGCTGGCCCTTTCTTTAGGCCAAATGATGCAACTGCCAAGTTACTGGCAAAGTCAACAGCAGCAACAACATTCCTCCTAAGTGCACCCCATCAGTTTTTCTCTCTTGAAAGGCCAAACAGTTGTGGCTCATAGTCTGTCCCATTATCTAATCATTCTCTACCCCAATTCCCTGTCCTGTTCCCAGTTATAAACTAAGATTCAATTGCCAGTCCCACTTGGCTTCTATACATGGAACTAGAAGAGGAATGCACTTTTCTTCTTTCCAAGGGGCAAAGTGTCTTGGGCCAGCTGACAATGTTGTTCTTCCTTTTCCCAAGGTCTGGGCATGCTGCAGACTTCCGGTTTCGCTGTTATGGCAGATAAGTTGAACTTTGTCCGTTACCTGTCCCACTTCCGCTGTGTGCACAGAGGTGCCGATTTCATCAAGATGAGGACCACAACAGTGCGCAAACTGTTGCCAGAGTCCTGGGGTTTCCTTTGTCCTGTCCACACTCCAGATGGCGAACCCTGTGGTTTGATGAATCACTTGACGGCACCGTGTGAAATAGTAACACAGTCTTTATACACAACCTCCTTGCCATCTTTGCTTTGCTCTTTAGGTGAGTGTTAACCCATTTGAATTGCATTTTCATGAAGCATGTGTCAAATGGAATGGTTTGCCTTCTGTGAAATTGCGAATTATGACATGTGGACAAACTCAACATTCAGTTTTTTTCAAACTTGGTTTTGGGAATCCTTGTATTCCTAGAAAAATAAATTGGGCTTCCTGATTGAGGAAGTCACTAGCACCAAACAAACCTCCTCGAAGAGCATATTTCCAGGCTATTAATTATTTCTGACAGTACCTAGTCAAATCAATGCTGGTTGTAGTTTAAGGATAATTATCACATGACACTGTTATAATGTAATTGCACTACATTACTCCTGTCTTTGCCTAAACCTTATCACATGATGTTCTGGCTCTCCCAGTGGTCTTCCTCTGATTCAGTGGTTCTCAACCTGTGGGTCCCCGGATGTTTTGGCTTTCAACTCCCAAAAATCCCAACAGCTGATAAACTGGCCGGGATTTCTAGGAGTTGTAGGCCAAAATAGCTGGAGACCCACAGTTTGAGATCTCTGCTCTGATGGGTCATTGTAAACCTACTTTTTCTCTGGCATATTTTAGTTTCTTTAATAAATGGGTTGTGTAACAGTGCAATTCCAATGTGATTCCTATTTAGTCTTTAATCTGGAGAAAAAAGTTTCACAATCAATATAAAGATTAAATAAAGAAAAAATATACCAAAAATTAAAATGTAACATACATAAACAGAACTGAGCAAGTGTTGGGTCAGGAAAATTGGTGGAAGTGGCATGGTGTACTTTCCCAATCTGAGCTCAGGTGGTGGTTCTATAAAAGCATAAATTTGTGCCATATAAAATAATGTATAAGACAAAAGCAGATTTTTAGGCCAAAATTAGGGCTTTTGATAATGACCCATGAATAAGTTGAGGGTCATTCCCTGGAAGACGGAAAGCAATTGTTGTTCCTTGATGCTACTCCCCTCTTAAGGCATTCAGAAAACTGAGAAGTGGTGCCATAGTGAAGAGAGCAAAAGAAGTTTAACTTTTTGCTACTTTCCCCAAAGATGGGAATGGTTCCATAAGTGTATGTGTGTGGCTTAAGGTACAGTTCTTACATTGACCCATCAACCCATGATTTCTCAGTTGATTTTTTGAATAAAATTTCTGGACTTACACATGAATAAGCTAATTGTGCAGTTATGGTTTCCTGTTGTTGTTTCAATCATAGAGGAAATGAGGTGTAAAAAGTATTGTCATATTTGAAATGTGAGAAAGCAAACACAGGAGCTAATGCCAGTGAAGCATAAATCCTATGATGGTGCAAATGAGCAAAATGCTATTCCTCTACCTTTCCAAATACAAAAGAAGCAGCTTTCAAGAAGAATAAACCAAAACAATTGACTAATGTGTTAGGCCTCTGGAGCACACAGTCTTCTGGATGGTTGTGAGGCCTGAAAGATTAAGAATATTGTCCAGGTGTCTTTGGAGCATGCAGAAATTTCATGTCAGAATAGCGAAGATATTTAGAAGACAAGTTGATACTGAATGCATTCCCTAAAGCGGTGGAGGGCATAAGGCTCAAAATGGCCCTCTATAAGCAAACGTAGGGTTGTTTCCATCTACCAAAAGAGAGCGAGAGAGAGAAAGAAGGAGAGAAATAGTAGCTCTCCAGACACAGCAAAGTATTTAAATGTATTTAGGTAGTCTTTATGAAAATGTTAGATCTGGTCTGCACCAATCTGTGCCTTCATCTATTGATGACAAAGTGATAAACTATTGACTTGCATCTTTCTCTAGGTGTCACTCCCATAGATGGTGTTCCCAACCAGCCCTACTCTGAATGTTATCCAGTTACTTTAGATGGTTCTTTGGTAGGCTGGATAGAGAAGGATCTGGCTCCTGGCATTGTGGAGACACTCCGGCACTGTAAGGTTAGCTCTTTTGAGTGAATTGCCATGCAAATCTACTGCATTACAGTGATTCCTTGTTATGTGCTATGATCTGGTTTTTGCATCCCCAGTGGATGCTCAGTCCTATTATATACAATGACATGATAAAATGGTTTCTTTTAAAATGGCAAAATCAGGGTTTGCTTTTGGATTTTTAAAAAATAATATTTTCAAACTGTGGATGATGGAATCCATGGGTGCAGAAACCATGGATATGGAGGGCCTTTTATACTTTTGAGAAGTTATTGTGGCATTTTGATCATACTCTCTCTCACTGTGTTCATCCTGTAGGATTTGGTGCCTGGTTATCTAGCTGCTTGTGCTCCAGCTGCAAACCTAATAGCATTTAATTTCACACCTTTTCATATCCTTCCCTTTACATGTGGCTCAGTTTCTGTTTCTAAATATTATATTTTGCCTCTTCACAAAAGATTTTGAAATCACCACCTTAAGTCCCCTTGGAGAGAGAGGGCGGGTTATAAATAAAGTATTATTATTATTATTATTATTATTATTATTATTATCATCATCATATATACCCTTCACTTTAGTTGAAGGGTTAGTTTGTTTTTCATTCTGTCTTTTTCAAACCAGCTGTTTTTCTTTTGATGTGTAATAGGCAATGCAAGAAAAGAAGGTTCCAGTTTGGACAGAGGTGGTCCTTGTCCCCATGACAGGCAAACCCAGCCTGTACCCGGGGCTCTTCCTTTTCACTACTCCTTGTAGGATGATGCGCCCTGTACGTAACCTGGCCCTGGGAAAAGAGGAATGGATTGGCACAATGGAACAGGTAATCGTGTGTGTATGTGTTGATTACAAATGGATGGCCAATCTTGAGGAGCGAGAAAGCACTATTTCCCATCTGTTTGTGGCTTTAAAAAATCTATTTAATTTTAAATAGCACGTATGTCAAGGAAATAAGTCAGTTGAGAAATTCCAACCTAGATCACATATTTTGCCCTGAACTCCTTCTAGAAATGTAAATTAATATGCAGTGATGGCTCCTCTTAAGTGTTTTTGTATATTATTACAGTTGTATACTTTTTATTACTACTTAGTGTAGTTTGCTGCTTGAGTACATCCAGATGTGTATTAGATTTATGATCTATTCTTCAAGGAGAGCTTCTGAAAGCGACGTGTGTGGGATCTTCTTTGCCCTAGGTCTTCATGAACATTGCTGTGTTGGAGAATGAAATTGAACTTGGGCTGACCACTCACCAGGAGCTTTTTCCCCACAGCATGTTGAGTGTGGTGGCAAATTTCATTCCATATTCTGATCACAATCAAAGTCCTAGAAATATGTACCAGTGTCAGATGGGTAAGTGTCCTTTACACCAATAGTGATGTAACTCACTCATTTTGCATCTTTTATAAGACCAAAACGACACCATCCATTCCTGAAACAAGGAGGCGTAAACAGAATCCTTGTAGCACAGGCGTGGGCAAATTTTGGCCCTCCAGGGGTTTTGGACTTCCACTCCCACAATTCCTAACAGCCGGTAGCTGTTAGGAATTGTGGGAGTTGAAGTCCACAACACCTGGAGGGCCAAAGTTTGCCCATGTCTGTGCATCTTTAGAAAAATCCTAAGAAAGCAATCATGCCAAAACAGCTTGGTGAGAACTGAGCACACAAAATGGTCACAACATGTTGACCAACAGGACATGTGATTGAATGAAAAGGCCACAATTGGCTGCAGTAGTGATGAGAAGCACTGCAAAATGCAACATTTGGTTATAGGCTCAATAAAGACAGCCTCTTTCATCTCAAAGTCTGAATTCATTTTCAAAAATGTTCTCTAGGACCATGTTCCCCAGTGATGAAGGCAGAAATATTGAAATTAAAAATACGAACATATTTAGCCTGATGTGTTTACTTCTAGTAACTAAGCCTTGGGACAAGCCTTCAAAAATAGAGGGGGAAATCCATACAAAACTGAGAAATATGCAGACAATGGTTTCATCATGGGGAAGGAAAGTATTGCTGACTGGAGAAGTTAGGGGACCCCAAGAACACCAGGTCTTTTAAATCTCAGTTAAAAACACACTTGTTTTGTAAGACTTTTGGAGTTGCTGTTTAATATTGTTATATAATCTTGTATATTTTGATTGCTATATTAGTCAGCTGGTTTTAAATTGCACAGTATTTTTCTCTTGTTTTACCTAGTATGATTTGATTTACCATTGTATTTTATAATTTTACACTTTATTATTCTTTCTGGATCCATAGGTGGGTGGATTTGTAGATTGTATGCTTGCATGGAAGTGGACTGAGCACACAAAATGAGGTTCCTCTTGATAGATTTACATGAAATTGAGCTATGCTGGTTATGGAGAGGGTGAAGTATGGCCCCTGTATGTGTGGGACCAGTACCAACAGTTTCATTTCCTGGTGTCTCTAGGACAGGTGTCAGACTTTGTGGCCTTCCAGATGTTTGGGCCTCCAAATCCCAGAAGCCCTTATTTATTATTTATTTACAGCATTTATATTCCGCCCTTCTCACCCTGAAAGAGACTGAGGGTGGATAATAGAACATGTACACGCCAAACATTCAATGCTGTTAAAACAGACAGGACAGACAACATATAAAGGTATTGTGTCAGCAGTTTTCCCAACTCCAGCGACCTGGAGGTTGTGCCCAATTCCGGTCTCAGCGGGTTCTGTCGCTCCATCCTCTATGACAAAGAGCTTTGATCACAGACTTCCTCCTAATTACTCACAGCTCACAGCTGTTTTTGAACTACTTAGGTAAACAGTAAGCTGGGCTGAAGGTCGGGTGCTCACCCCAATCTGGGCTTAGAACTGTCAACCTTCCAATTGGTAAGATCGATTGCTGCTGGTGATCGATCTAATAGCCAGAAGTTCTGGGAGCTGAAGTCCAAAACACCTGGAGGGCCACAAGCTTGTCACCACTGCTCTAGGCATTTTCTAGGTCCTCTTTGTGATTCTATGGTGTGCTTGTTTAATAACTCTGTTTTTTTTATTTTATTTTTGTCTCCTCTGCTCTAGGCAAGCAAACAATGGGTTTTCCGCTTCTAACTTTTCCCTATAGGTCAGATGACAAACTCTACCGGCTTCAAACCCCACAAAGTCCTTTGGTTCGGCCAGCCATGTACGATCATTATGACATGGACTCTTATCCCATTGGCACAAATGCAATTGTTGCTGTCATCTCATATAGTGGTTATGATATGGAAGATGCAATGGTGAGTCCTTTAAGAAACGTGTGGGGAAGAAACAAAGTTAAGCATTTCCCCTCTTTCTTATGTAGCATATATTAAAATAGAAATGGATTCTATCATGAGTAGCTTTAACCTTTCGATTTCATAGTGACATTTAGTAATGGGAAAATTGTACATCAGGAAGAGGTTCAATCAGCCAGGTGTCACCACTTGAGAAATATTTATGTTTATGTTTTCCATCCTGCCTGCTAATAGATTTTCACTCAGTGGTTCCCAACCTTTGGGCCTCCGGGTGTTTTGGACTTCAGCTCCCACAGTTCTTAACAGCCAGTAAGCTGGCTGGGATTTCTTGTAGTTGAAGTCCAAAACACTTGGCGCCCAAAGGCTGGGAGCCACTGGTTTAGACTTTCAACTGATAAGCAATGTACCTGTATGCTGAATACATGAAGTTTGTAAGTAAATCAATTAAGTTACTTTTCTCGAAGACTACTTATTTTTGTCTCCTGAGAGCATGATTTAAAATCAAATATATTTTATGAGAGAGTAGATGTTTTTTGGACCACCGAAACAACACTTTTGAAGATCTGCTATATATTTTGTGCATTGGCATAAATCTTTGTTCCTAACAGTTCAAAGAGATAACCAGGTATATCAGTCTAACAACCGAGAAACCTAATTTGCCTTGCATGAATACTAGTGGGTAAATACCAATAAAGAAAAGATTCACTCAAACTAGTTTTTAACTCTTCTAAGGAAGAGCATACTTTATCAAAAGGTTATGATTACTCCAAATGGTGTGAATGCCAATTACTCTCCAAAAGGTCACACTTCCAAAAGGTTATGTGTCCAAAATGCTATGGAGATTGTGGTTTTCCAAAATTCATTACCACATTTTCATAATCAGAAAACCTAAGTCATGTATAACAATGAAAGCACTGCCTCTCTTAGTTTTTCACTCCACCTTGATACATATGGGACTGTTTCTGTTTAGATCTTGAACAAGTCTTCGTGGGAAAGAGGCTTTGCCCATGGAAGTATCTACAAGACAGAACGTATTGACCTGATGGAAAAGATCAAGCAGGGAGATGACAATCTGGTGTTTGGAATTGGCCCTGACAAAGCAGCAACTTTGCAGAATCTCGATGCTGATGGCCTGCCTCCCATAGGAGCCAGGCTTCAGTATGGGGACCCTTTCTATAGCTACTTGAACCTTAACACAGGGGAAAGCTTTGTTACATACCACAAGTAAGTTCAGAATGTTGCTATAGTGAAAATTGTATAAATAACTGCATGGGTGCTCTCTTAATTCTCTAGGAATCTTGATAGTTGAAAAACATTCTAAGCAAGTCCTCGACCAGAATCAATATGGACGAAATGCCGTTGGCTAGAAGGAGACTCCTCCACTTTGCTAGTGATGTTTTCTGAGTGCCTTTGAGCAAGTTGAAGTGAGGCACTCTATCAAACTCCCAATGCTATAACCCTTTCCCAACCTACCAGTTGCATGATGTAGCTGGGAAAATTGCAATGCCTGCGCAGGTTCTGATACTCCACATGTGTGCATTCGTAGAGTCCATGAAGTGTGTGTGTGTGTGTAAAATCTTGTGTTAATCATGTCTTGTTGCTGCAAGAACATTTTTGCCTCTCAATGATTTTGCTGGAGTTCTAAGTCTTAGAAGTAAATATTGGCTTTCCTTAGAGCCATGACTTTGAAAATTTAAGCACCAAGAATTAGTACTAAGAGGTAGGGTTGTAAAGTTAAGCATATTTGGTTTTCTTTGTCCCTCCACATTTGCGGATTCGGTTTAAAATTTATTCTCTAGGAATCTCTAGATCCTCTAGTGTACATGTGTCAAACTCAAGGCCTGTGGGCTAAATGCAGTCCACCATATCGTAAGACATCAAGGCTAGAATTGATACTGTGAGGTCACAAATTCTGAAGGCCACAGTTTGTTCTGTTTGGACAGGATAGTGGGGTTTGAATTTAGATACAAGACTTATGGATATGATGTCTGATGTTAAAATGGCGTTTAACCTTTCCCCAACCTCAGAGCCACAGGTGCTATTGGGTTGCCGTTCCCATTATCCCCAGTTCGCATTGTGGATAATCAAAAGTGGTGGGAGTTGTCGTTCAATAACATCTGGGGACCCAAACTGGGTAAAAACTAAAGAGGACCAACCACTATATCAAAAAAAGATTTTGACACCCCTGCTCTAGTGTGACATTCTGGTCAGCTTCCTCCAGTCATGCTGAAGGGTGTAGTGATTTCTAGGAATCTCTAGGCCCTGCAATGTGGTTCTATGATCACTTTCCAGCAGAAGTTTTTTGGGTGAGTTGGCTTCTTAACAAAAGACCCTCCTCATAAATGCACAGCAACTTCTCAGCAGCAGTGTGACCCAGCACCAGTAGCCCAAAGTGATAAAAAAAATCACAGGGACCAATGTTATATCTTCCATAGAAGACTTTTCTTTGTAGTAAAATAATATGGTTGCACTATTTACAAGAACAAAGTTTCGATGACACAAATAAAGTTCAACCTTCACACTGGAGCTTCACATATGAGGTCTTCTCATACCGAGGATTACCTCACACACAGAGGCTTCTTTCACAGATTAAGGCCTACCTCACACTGTAAGGCATTCTCTCACAGACTAAGGCCTATCTCACACTGTGAGGCCTTCTCACAGACTGAGAGCGTTCTCTATTGAGGCAAACTAACAGAGAGGCCTACTAAGCTACAGTTATTGCATCTATTTAACCCTTTCAGTGCTTGACTCACATTTTTGTAATTAAAAAATACCTAGTTAATTTTTAATATTTCTGACAAAATTGGCTACAGAACTGTGCAGGAAGACCTAGAAATTCCCAGAGAGATTATCTCTCAGGTTTAAAAAAAAGCAATTTCATTATTCATGGTTTTTCACTTTCACTAAAGCCCTGTGCCCCTAGCCCCATGAATGCAACTGCTGATTGTATTCATAATTCCTGGGATGGTCTGTCTTTCATCTCGTTCTTATTTAACCTCTAAATTATATTAATAGCTAAGATGCCCCCATTCTTTCTTGCATACAAGTAACTTGAAGTAGACTTTCTTGCAGAAGCTAGCAACAATTCAAATCTTTTTTTCTCTCCCCTCTTTTCCAGAAATAAGGAGGTCTGTGTTGTGGATAACATTAAAGTTTGTAGTAATGACGCTGGAACTGGGCAGTTCAAGTGTGTGTGCATCACCCTGAGAGTCCCTCGCAATCCAACCATCGGGGACAAGTTTGCCAGCCGTCACGGACAGAAGGGCATCTTGAGCCGGCTGTGGCCCGCCGAGGACATGCCGTTTACAGAAAGTGGAATGGTGCCAGACATCCTCTTCAACCCTCATGGCTTCCCATCCCGAATGACCATTGGCATGTTAATTGAGAGCATGGCAGGGAAGTCGGCATCTCTGCATGGGCTTTGTCACGATGCCACCCCTTTTACATTCTCTGAAGAGAACCCTGCTGTGGAATACTTTGGCAAGATGCTGAAGGCCGGAGGCTACAATTACTACGGGACAGAGAGAATGTACAGTGGCGTGTCAGGAGTGGAACTCGAAGCCGACATTTTTATTGGTGTGGTCTACTACCAGCGCCTGAGGCACATGGTCTCAGACAAGTTCCAAGTGAGGACAACAGGAGCCAGGGATAAAGTCACCAACCAGCCTGTTGGAGGCAGGAATGTGCAGGGCGGCATCCGCTTTGGAGAGATGGAACGGGACGCTTTGCTGGCTCACGGGACGTCCTTCCTGCTGCACGACCGCCTCTTCAACTGCTCCGATCGCTCAGTGGCCCATGTGTGCGTCCAGTGCGGGAGCCTGCTTTCGCCTCTGTTGAAGCCTCCGCCTGTGTGGTCTACCACACGCATCAGGCAGCACATTTGCACAATTTGTAAACGTAATGATACCGTTGAGACTGTTGCGGTCCCTTATGTCTTCCGTTGTTTTGTGGCAGAATTGGCTGCCATTAATGTCAAAGTGAAACTTGCTGTGAATTAGTTCTGGCCACCCAAACTATCCTTCACTCTTGGAGAGATGGAACAAGTATGTTTCTCCTGTGGAGGCTTTATAAAATAACAGGTGATTCATTCTGAATAGTAAAAATAACTGTCTTGATCTATTAAACAACTCTTTAGGAACAAGGTTGAGTTCAGTAGATTCCAAGGACACATGATATAATTAATGGAATCACTAGGTCAGTAGTTGGGACTTTGTACGAATGATTGAAAGCTGACCTTTTAAAAGCACATCTGCTTTGCCAATTGGAGAGTGATTATTTTTTCAAACTGCAAGCTTTCAGTGGCCGTAATTGATGTTTACAACAGTGGCACCAAAGTGACAAATTATAGGTCATGAGAAGACAATCTGAAATCTTTGCGATAAGGCATGCACCGTTATACTCCGACTACAAAACAGTTGTTTATTATGCATGTGATTCCTAAGCTACATACTAATGTTGGAGTAGGATAGCTTTGCTTTCATTCTCCCATTTGATAGGGGCTCCTTATTTTCTTCCAGTAGCTTCTTTGCAAGGATCTACCAGGAGACCCATCCTCTTTATTCATCTGTTGTCATCTCTGTGAGATCGCTCACAACATTATGTTCAGAAATTAAATTCCAACTGAAATTTTATTTTCTGTTAAATTCTGCGTTGTGTGTTTTCCTTTAATAAGATCTGATTGACACAGTGGTTTTGAGTGAAAAAACTGCTGAAATACTGCTGTGAGTCCCCACAAAAACCTTTTTTTACATTCTATGAGAAAAAGACAGTGTTTATGAGTGAGGGCTGAGATTTTAAACTACTGGTTGAGTGAGTGAGAGGGGTGGAAGGGGAAGGTGGGAGCATTTGCACAAAATTTGTTTGCTGAAGCAAGTTGGGGCTTACCTGTTTCAAATGTTTAAAGCAGTGGTTCCCAACCTTTTTTTTGTTTGACCGGGGACCACACTTCAACATTAGTGCCAAAAGGGTTATGAATCAGTTTTAGATTCAGTTTGGTTATTTGGGGTGCTGATTCAGAAAACTGCATTGGATAGACCACATCAGCTATAGTTTCTGATACAGAACATATCCCATCTCGTAGTTGCTAAGACGGTTTCATAGAATCATAGAGTAGGAAGAGACCTTGTGGGCCCTTCAGTCCAACCCCCTGCCAAGAAGCAGGAATATTGCATTCAAAGCACCCCCAATAGATGGCCATCCAGCCTCTGTTTAAAAGCTTCCAAAGAAGGAGCCTCCACCACACTCTGGGGCAGAGAGTTCCACTGCTGAACGGCTCTCACAGTCAGGAAGTTCTTCCTAATGTTCAGATGGAATCTCCTTTCTTGTAGTTTGAAGCCATTGTTCAGTGTCCTAGTCTCCAGGGAAGCAAAAAAACAAGCTTGCTCCCTCCTCCCTGTGACTTCCTCTCACATATTTATACATGGCTATCATATCTCCTCTCAGCCTTCTCTTCTTCAGGCTAAACATGCCCAGCTCCTTAAGCCGCTCCTCATAGGGCTTGTTCTCCAGACCCTTGATCATTTTAGTTGCCCTCCTCTGGACACATTCCAGCTTGTCAATATCTCTCTTCAATTGTGGTGCCCAGAATTGGACACAATATTCCAGGTGTGGTCTAACCAAGGCAGAATAGAGGGTAGCATTACTTCCCTGGATCTAGATACGATGCTCCTATTGATGCAGGCCAAAATCCCATTGGCTTTTTTTGCCGCCACATCACATTGTTGGCTCATGTTTAACTTGCTGTCCACGAGGACTCCAAGATTTTTTTCACATGTACTGCTCTCGAGCCAGGCATCATCCCCCATTCTGTTTCGTGAGACCAGTCACTCTCGTTGCAATGGTGTCGTAACGGTGAGGCTGCAGACCATATTTTAGTTCAGTCTCAGCACAGCAAGCGTGAGGTTTCAAAATAAACAAACTCAGTCAGCATTCTTCTTAAGTTTCAAGGTAGCTTTTACTAGAAGCGTCTATACACAAACGACTACATGATGAGAATAAAAGATGGCGACGAACTAAGCATAGCAAGAAAACACACAGCAAATGAGAGATCTGCCCTTCTGTCTTATCTATGTTCTTGGCTGGTACACTCCCAAGTTTTCTCAGGGCAAAGGAATTTTGTGTTATCACAGTTTCACTGTCTGGCCTGTAACTTTGTAATAATAACATATGTGAGCTGAACAATAAATGAACACGACTGAATCCATCTTTGAAAAGCAATACTAATACATTGCAAAGCTAATACAAACACATTGAAAAACATACATGTGAAATAACTATAACTATTCTGACATTGCGGACCACTGGCTTAAAGCATTGGAGGATCTCTCCTATTTGAAGGAAGAACTCTGGAGGCTTGGGGAACTAACCTGCGTGTTTTGGTTTGGCTGGTCATACTCCACCCTACCCTCACTCTATATGTTCAAGTCAGTTGGACTGGTTTTAGAAGCTTACTTAGCCTTCGTGAGATCATCTGCTACAGCAGGGAAGTTTCAAAGGCCTGGGACAGATTATAGCAAAACAGTTCTATAATCTAACTGGAAATTTCCCACTATTTTCCATTAGCATTTGCTTCCTGATGCATTCACCTCCTGCCTTCTAATAGGGCCAGTCCTGATTACATGCCCTCCCATAGACAAAATATGCATGGGATTGTTTGCAACATTTAAAAAAATCTTTGGAATCCCATCCCATGGACATGCTTTAGCAGGGGATCCTATGCTGAGCAGGACGCTGGCCTTCCAATCCTACAGTGGATCTTTTATGAGCAGTTGCTTCCTAACACAGCATCAACAGCAGGTGCAGTTCCAAGAACGGAGCCTTCTGGTTAAACTGCAGGGCACCAGCTCTTCAGGTGCATCCTTTAGTCTTCTCATTGTCAACTGAAGCCCAACCTTGTGGCTTAGGAGATGAGCCGCCAACAGCTGCCTTGGCTGCAACATAAAGAATTTGTCATTTCCCAGCACTCCTTTACTGTTTTGAATTCCAAGCTGAAATCTCATAATATTCAGGGCCTTGCTGTAAGGTAGTATCTCTCTTACACTGGTTACAAAGTGGGTAAAACCCAATGCATTGCATATTTAAAAGCATGGTTCTTCTGCCCATCTTTTAAAGGTGCTTTTCGACACTACTTAAGGAATTAAGGACTGAAACCGTGTATCAGGGCTTTTGCAATGCTGTTGGAAGTAAACAAAAAAGTTTTAAAAAATTCTAGATTGAAAAGATTCTCCTGACCAGTACAAATTTCACATTACAGGCAAGGTTACAGAGTTGGATTGAAAAATCTGATCCCCCAGATGTTGCTGGACTCCAGCTCTCACCAACTCCATCCAAGATGGCCAACTGTTAGGGATAATGGGAGTTCTACTCCAGCAACCTTTAGGCATCCAGTAGTTTCCCAGCATGAATAGAAAAGTCTTGGGTTTTTAGGAAATCAAACAAAAAACAATATAAGATGCTCAGCTATATTTCTATCTCGTTTTCCTTTGATAGGACGATATGTAGCTTTATCTTTCCAACTACTAAATTCTCACATTGTCCTTGTGAGATAGTATAGTTTGGGAAGTGAGTGACCGGTTAAAAGCCATTAAAGTTCATAGTTGAGCAGGGATTTGAACTTTTCCAGTAGTAAACACTGAACAAGGTGCTTTGAAGCAGTTTGTTTATTAGTTGAAAAGCCACTTCAGCCTCTGGGTGTTTTGAAGGATTGGGGGGGGGGGGTGTCACTTGGACTCAAAAATTAGAAACTAAAATCATTGAAGAGCACAATAGGAACCGGTACAACTTAAACACAACCTGATTTTTTTCCCTAAGGAAAATCCTTTTTAAAGTTGTTGAAGGAGGTCAAAAATATGTGGTGAACTCAAGACTTTGTATATGTCAAAGAGCCTGAAAATGTGATCACATGCAGCAGAATCTGCAGGAAAATCTTAGTTTTAAATGTAAGTTTCTACTCCTTGTGGCTACAAGTACAAGAGAAATTTGCTGTAATTCCAAATGCTTTAGTGTCCTTGCCACTCCTGTGACTAAAATAAATTACAGTTTGACCTTTATATCCACTGGAATTAGGTCCAAGAGCTGCTTTGGATACCAAAATCCAGTTACAAAAGTGTCATTATAAATAATGGCTTAGTAAAATAGCGTCCCTTACATAAAATGCCACAATCAAGGTTTGCCTTTTAGAATTGTTTTAACAAATATTCTCAAACCATGAATTGATTGAATGCAGAATCCGTGGCTACAGAAAGCTGACAATATAAAAGATAGTGTACAGGAAGTCCCCAAGTTAGAGACAAGATAGGATCTGTAGGTTTGCTCTGAACTTGTATTTGTAAGTCAAAACAGGTATGTTTTTAAGTGTAACTCCAGTAAACAATAATATTTTCGCTTTGGATAGCAAGGAAGGGTTAACACCCCTCTGGTGTTTGTTTTAGTGTCTGATTTCACCACATTTTCTGTTCCTGTGATCATTGCATTTTGAAAAATGTGGCTTGTTGTGGAAACAAGGACTGGTGAGAAAGCTTCAGAGGAGACACCTTTTCCCCATGGTAACTCTTTCAGGAGTGAATTTCCCTTCCTGGGGTAGATTTCCTGCACTTCGTGTTGTCACTGCCATTTTTAACTAAGAGGCATTATGAGTCAGATGTCTGTAACTTCAGGACTGCCTGTACCAATCTGCATGATTAGGTAAAAGAAATGTTTCTGGATGCAAATTTTGACTTGCTTGGGTCAGGACTAAGCATCACACACTAGAGTTTTAAATAACTCAATAGGAGTCCGAAACACAAGGACAGGAGAGTTTAATAACAGTATCAAAAATAACCCTTTGTCCACAAACAATGTGAGCATGCGGACTCGCAAGGTTCTAACATTGAGCAAGGGCATAAACAAACTTCAGAAGTTCACAAATATTTATTTCTGGCATGGAAGATGAGTGAAAAGGCTTTCCATTCATCACTGCTTGTTCTCCCAAGGTTTGGGTTTAGGAGCCATTTGAGACGGTGTTGCAGTCCCATTAGTTGCGGTGATGTTCAGCTTCTGCAGTCCAGGGATGTCCTGCCCAGCCTGGACCAGACGGAGGATCTCAGAAAAAGACATTGAGTTATCCAGAGCATGAGGCTGACCAGGAGAACTCTCCTGAGCCTTTTCCTTTATACCATCCTCAGTATTGGGTTGAGAGTCTGTTGTTTCTGCCATTGTGGACTCCATTCTTCAGGACAAAGAGGAAATTTGCATTGCAAGAGACTCTGGTCTAATGGGCCATATCCATTTGAGGAAAGTGCCTTGGAGCAAGCCTGAAAGACAGAGAATAATTTTGAAAGAGAACTTTCACCCCAATTAGGTTGTCTAGATCAGGGATTCTTAAACATTTTCCACTCACAACCCCTTTCCACCTAAGAAATTTTAATGTAATCCCTGGTATATCTATATACCTTAAATAAAAATGTAATGTTCAATGCATTGTCGAAGGCTTTCATGGCCGGAATCACTGGGTTGTGTAGGTTTTTTTGGGCTATATGGCCATGGTCTAGAGGCATTCTCTCCTGACGTTTCGCCTGCATCTATGGCAAGCATCCTCAGAGGTAGTGAGGTCTGTTGGAACTAGGAAATGGGTTTATATATCTGTGGAATGACCAGGGTGGGACAAAGGACTCTTGTCTGCTGGAGCTAGGTGTGAATGTTTCAACTGACCACCTTGATTAGCATATAATGGCCTGACAGTGCCTGTAGCAAACTTTTGTTGAGAGGTGATTAGATGTCCTTGTTTGTTTCCTCTCTGTTGTTGTGCTGTTGTAATTTTAGAGTTTATATACGGAGAAGCCATTGAAATACACAAGCATGTGGACAATTTCAACAGAAAGGAGGAAACCATGAAAATGAACAAAGTCTGGCTACCAGTATTAAAAAACTCTAAAATTACAACAGCACAACAACAGAGAGGAAACAAACAAGGACATCTAATTACCTCTCAACAAAAGTTTGCTCCAGGCACTGTCAGGCCATTATATGCTAATCAAGGTGGTCAGTTGAGCTGCCCTGGCTCAATGCAATGGATTCATGGGAAGCTTATTTATTTATTCACTCTGCCAAAGCATGCTGGTGCCCCAACAAACTACAAATCCCAGGATCCCATAGCATTTAACCATTGGAGTTAACTGCATTAATTCTACAGGGGTTTCTAGATTCACGAATAAGGATATAAGTCGGAGAGAAATACACCAAAGCACATGCACATTTTAAGTATACATAAGTGAGCCTTACCCTTTGTATGGAGACACTCAGCTTCCCAAAAGCAGGATCCCAGCAGTGCTGTTCCTAGCCAGCCTTGCTGACTTCCTGGAAGAGACCATTAAGCCAGAGGGGGGTTGGAACGCCCAGAATGGGCCATACCAATAGCAGCCAATAGGTAGGGGAGTACAACCACCTCTTTGCTGAATGGAAGGCCATAAAAACTATTTCTTCCATTTGTTTTAAATAGCCAGTGAGGTGTAATAGTTTCAGTACTGGACAAAGGTTCAGATCCCTGTTGTCCTTTCGAAGATAGGCTGAAACCTTTTTTAATTTAGGCAGGCTTTTAAAGCAGAAAGGTTTTTCAAAACTAGCAGCAGCCCTCCTGCTGTTACAATTGATTTGAACAGAGTTTTTAAAAACTAATGTGATTTTAACTGACTTGTTTTTAATAACTGTATGACAAGTTCTGATATTTATATTTTATAGGTTTTTAACTGTATTAAGGTTGTGAGCCGCTTTGGGTTTCGATTCAGAGAGAAAAGCGGGGAATAATAATAATAATAATATTTCTTCAGTTCTAAGGCTGAATCTACACTGCATATAATGCGATTTGAACTGCATTATAGAGTCAGTTTTAGACCCATGCAATATAGTTCAATGCAACATAGACACATATCATTCTGTATGGTGCATCATAGACCCATCTAATGCAATTCAATGCAGTTCAATGCAGCGCAGACTCATTTAATGCTGTTCAATGCAGTGTAGATCCATCAAATGCAACTCAGTGCAGCGTAGACCCAAATAAAGCAGTGCAATGCAATGTAGATCCATCGAATGTAGTTCAATGCAGCATATATCCATCCAATGCAGCTCAATGCAGCGTAGACCCATATAATACAATTCAATGCAGAGTACACCCACCTAATGCGATTCAATGCAGTGAAGATCCATCCAATGCAGCATAGACCCATATAA